AGGCAGTATTAGTTATTTTTATTATATCTTTAAATTTTCTGTTTCTTACTCCTTGTTTGTGTGTCATGTTCCACAACACCATACAAATGCCAAGAAACAAACTAGAAGGAAGCAAGTAAAAATCTCATAGATTTTACAGATAAAGAACCATTTCTTAATAATTATTTGACCTGTTCCAAAGGATCTCATGTCTCTTGTAACACTCCGGAGGCATGTTTCCAGGGTCCTTCCCAAAGGACGTGTCAGTTACAAGAATCACAACACCCAAGGAATTCCAAAGCGTGGTGTCTCTATTAGGTATTTATAATTTGTAGTTCCTCCTATTCCAGATAACAGTTTAATCAATCAGAAAATATCCTTATTATAAGCAAAGTTATCTAGCAATGTAATTGACAAAAATACCTTTTTACCTATAGAAGTATAACATGCAGTGGAAATTCTGGGAAGAGAAATAATTTTCATTTCATGTAAAAAGTGTATTTGCATTGGATGCTGAAGGGTGAGATTTTTAACAAGTTGGCTGGATAGAAAAGAAAATAATATGGGCACAAAAGTAGAGGTTAGTAGGAAGCAATCACTGTAGTAGTTCATTTTTTTACCTAAACAAAGGTTCATGGAAAGCATTAATGAGAAATGTGATTGGAACGTCAGTTCAAGATCGTAGAGTCCATAGTTATGAATTTGCGCTTTGTGTAAAGCCCTAGAATGTTTTTGAGCAAGGAAGTGACATGTTTTAAGCTTTGCTTTAGACTTTTCACTTTTAGAGGGAAGAGAAACTAGAGGCTGTGAGATCATGACACTATATATGTGTGTCTGTTACATGTGTGTGGTATGGTAGGGGCTGGCCTCGTAGAAAAATAAGGGTTTAAGTTTGAGGGTGGCAGTAGAAATGAAAAGATGGGAATGATTAGGGGCAACATGGCAGTGGTTGAGTTTCTAGGACATATCAACTGAGAGTATTTTGTGGTTGGGAAGAATAGAGCAAAAGTTGGTTCCAAGATTTTAACTAGAAAATGATGGTACCATTTCCATAAGTAGGAAGATTATATATAATTTAATAAATTTTCACTGAGCCCAAACTCAGTGTAATGAATGTATAATATTTTTTTCTAAGTACTATTCTCACAAAAGATATTAAGAGAACATGGATGGGGACAATGAGGAGGATATATTACAAAAGTTCCAATCTAGGAGAAGAAATAAGATAAGTACATGTGACATCTTTAAAAGGTGACTGTGATTAAGTGCCATGCATTCTGCAAAAGAGATCAGTATTGGATGAGTGATAGGGACATCTTTAAAAATGCACTGGGGATTTGAACTAGTCCCTACAGGATCTAAGATAAGAGAGAATTGCAAATAAAAAGATAAAATATTTTTTCCTCCCTTTCAGGTTGGCTCACAGTGGGACCAACACTTACAAATAGCAACTACAATGCAGAAACATACGCGTCCTACTTCACCGCCCCTAACTCCTACTTGACTGGGTGTACGGAAGAAATTGAGAGACTTCGACCCAAATCACCTCCTCCCAAATCTAAATCCGATCGGGGAGGTGGAGCCCCCAGAGGTGGAGGAAGAGGTGGGACTTCTGCTGGCCGTGGACGAGAAAGAAATCGATCTAACTTCCGAGGAGAAAGAGGTGGTTTTAGAGGGGGCCGTGGAGGAGCACACAGAGGTGGCTTTCCGCCTCGGTAATTTTTGAAGACGTTGATCCTGTTAATGCCCCTCTAACCTTTATTGTAGTTTGCATTTCAAGTGGGAAACTTACTTTAGAGCACAATTCAAGCTTGCACCTTTGCTTTGGTTTCTCTGAACTGCAGGAATATCTTAGTCAGCCTCCCTCACACTTGTCACACACTGTCTGGTTTTGTTCAGTATAAATGAGTATTCTGCCTTTTGTCACGTGCATGAGCAGAATGGAACACAAGTAACTAACTTCATCTTCAGAGACTGAATCCATTCTGGTAGATTCCAACTAATTACAAAGGTTTTGTTTTTTAGTAGTTGAACAGTGAAAAAGATCCAATCTGTGGTATCATGCCAGTGCCCACAGGATTGGTGACGCACATCCTGCCGCTGCCGTCGTAGCAAACAAGGAGCTGTTCGGAAGCCTTGACAGAGTGGAGTTGGGACAGACGGTTATTAGGCAAGTAGCCGTTGCCAGCCCCTGGGGAGAGAGAGGAATGCAATGCGAAAGGGGAGCTTGCAGTCCTCCCTCCCCTCATAAGGACGATGTCTGTCCCTCCCTCTCTGTCCTGATGAGGAGGATGACATGCAGGAGGTGCAGGGTGGTGTGACTGGGGCAGGGGTCCTAGGAGCTGGTGGTTTGAAAAAGAATTTATTACAAGCGGCTGTTCCGGTCCGGTTACTTACTCCCCCCAGAAAAGCCCTCTGTAAAACCCACCGCTCTCCCCTTCCTGGGGTGGACGCTTTTTTTCCACCTCTGCCCGTCTGCACCCAGATGCTCAAATAAACAGCATTTCGCTAAACACGAGGCCCCATGTGTCTCCCTCTCGGCTCCGGACCTAACAATGATAAGCTGCTGTCAGGGTTTTAAGATTTTCTTGATGAAACAGTAAAAAGAGGTAGGCTTCTTTTTATAATCTTAAATGTGTAGCTACATATGACTTTTAATCTTGTTTCCTAAGAGGCAAGTGAGGACAAATACCCAAGTGCTAGAATTCTGGTGTGGATGTGAACTTGGACTGATCTTCAAAGTAGTTTGGTATTCCTTAGCAAAATAAATAACAGAGGCAACAACAGAGATACCTGGTTTACTTTGGGGAATAAAGTACTGGGGATGAGGAAATGACATACACCTTTAAACTTGTCATGGAGAAAATTTAATGTAAAACAGATTATAGAAAACCCTCAACTTAAGAATACAGCTTGGAAATTGAACTGCAATTGTCTTTTATTAAAACCATATGGTGTGTTGTTTATTTTTAAGGGGCTGGTTGTGCAGATCAGTTAGTTATATAAGACTTTATGTTGTCATTTCTCTATGAATGAAATTATACCATTATTCTTGATGAGTACTTTTTTATTATATTACAATTTTTCTAATGAAACTTTAAACCTTTGAAATTTAAGAATCTGTTTTCTATAAATGGAATTACTCTTGTTACCAAATGAAAAGACTAACCTAAAATCAAACTCTTCTTTTGGTCTTTGATGCATTTTAGTGACTATCTTGTGCTCATATTACACCTATGATGAGGTTAAAGTACATCCACTAAAAACTTGGTTTGAAGATAAGGACCGAATAATAGAAATAGGGTTGAGATCTTTAAAAGCCTGACGAATTAACTTGCTCAATCTTTTAGTACTTTCTAGTACAGATAGCATTTGACTAACTCCTTTCTTAATGTAGATACTATGTATCATAGTTTTTGCTGAAATAATGGTATGTTTTCAAGTTCAGTAAAATTACAGATTATCTAGAATTGGAACTGTATATATATCAGAGTTTTAATTCTAGAGAATTCTAGAGAATGAAGTCAGGACAGAGAGAAATTCCAGTTGCCCACTTCTAATTGTCCTTAGATGTGTCAGCTAAGGAGCGACCGTGCCCTATACACAAGACTCTTCATTATGTTCCATGCCTGCCCAGGGCGAGGACGTTCTTTCCTGGTGCTTGCCCGGAGTGTCGTCCTCACAGGGAGACAGGGATGGCTTCTGTGTAGGTTCAGAGTTAAGGGGAGCCGTAGCCCACCATGTTTAGAAAAGAGCAAATACAAAAAGGGTAGGTGGAAGAATGCGAACCTAAAATTTATGCCTTTGACAATGTGGCCTTTTTAATAACAGAATAAAAACTAGTTATTTAAGAACTTTGAAATAACCAGTTTTGCTGCCTTTCAGTGAAGGCCGAGGTGCTGCTTTGCCACAGGAAGACATCTGTTCACTCAAGGAAGGTTTCCGTGAAAGTCCATTGCTCTGACCTCTGGGTTTGATCCTCTTTCTGTGTACATGTCTGACGTTTTCACGGAGTTACGTGGAAATAAATGTTCAGTTGCTTCACTTAGATTCCTTATTGAGCATAGATAAGCTAGTAAGTGCAATAACCCTACATTTTTCAGTTAGAAGTTCTAAGATCAGCATGCCTGAGTTTATACAAAATACCTAGGTGTGCTAGGCCGGCAGTGGGAGCCGCTCTCCCTGTGCCTCCCTCCTTCGCGAGCGTGGCGCCAGGAGGCCAGCGGGCCGCCTGGGGGGAGCGCTTTCCCACTCCTTCACCTGGAGAAGGCAGGCAGGTGGCGATGATGTCAGCTAGCAGATTTGGGGGTGGGGATATCCCAAAATGCCCATACTCAACTGAACCAGACTAGACCAACGAATTGTGGAGATGTCAGAGTGTACAGTGTCACCATGAAACAGTACAGTGTGAGAGGTCGGGGTGTCCAGCTGGGAAGTGGGAATTGAGCATGGAGTCTGGCACGACAGCCGTGTCACAGACGCAGGGTTGGAGGGGTCAGCGCTGCAGCAGTCCTGCCCTGGTGCTCTGGCAGGAGCAGAGCCACCTACGAGCCCTTAGCTCACAGCTCCCTGATCCTTGTCCAGGTCAGCGTGGGCCACGGGTGTCACGCCTGTTATTAGGAGTTAGTCAAGTCTTTTGAAAATACTTTCTACCCATCTTAATTTCTAAATTATATCCTTCAGTTATAATGGCTTATTTTAAAACCTGTACTGTTACATCCTAAATTTAGAATATAAGATTTAGTCTTTGAAGTATAGTTTCAGATTTTACTAATTTGTTTAATAAAATGTTTATTAACTTGACAGAATGAAAGCTCAGTTGGGACTCGAGATTCTCAATAGTAGTCTTTGATCTGAAATTATCTCATTTTTGTCATCTGTTAAAAACCTTTGCTTATAAGAAAGGCCTTTAGAACAATCCTGTAATCTTGGGGTTTGTGTAGGACTTTTAACATTATCCTGTCTGTAATGTTTGGTGCTAGGGACTGAACTTTTAGCTGAGGTCTCAAGTATATGTGGTCTGTTTTGAAGCTCTAAATCTGGAACTTTCCAAAAGGTAAGAACATTTATCAAGCAAACTGAGCCCATCAAAGACTCCATTTCTAGAAATGCCACATTGCTTCTGCTCACAAGGCCTCCTTCATTTGCTCAGGTATAAAGATTGCTAGCTGCAATGCACAGAGAAAAACCACCTCATTTAATTTGGATGTCCTTTTCCAATAAACCCTTTCTCCAGTATTGGACAAAATATGAAAATGATCGGTTTGAGTATGTGTTACAGCTCTCTACCTGAAGTGCTAATAAACGGTGAAAATCAGGTAAGTTAGGTTTTTCCAAAAGTAATTCTAAATAATTGAGGATCTAGAAGTTAACAATGTAAAATGCATACAGGACAGGAGTTTGTTTTGTTATGGTAAATTGTCTTTTAAAGGCACATTGTTTATTGTTTACGTATTAAACACATGGAGATAGTTCTTTTTACTTATTTACTTTCTCCCATTTGTCTTACCTGTTCTGTTTTCCCACTGTGATGAGCTGTCTCAGCTCCTCTCTGCGAGGTGAGCGGCACAGGCTGTCTTAGTCAATGGCCACGACTCTTGGCCTCAGACCACGGAGGCGCCAGAGACGGTGAGGACTGGAGACCTCGTACCCCGTTTAAGGCGGACATCACTTGTCAGCGCCAGCTAATTGTCCGCAGAGGGAAGAGGGTAAGTCTGAGATGTTCATGTGAAATTTGCCTAATTTTTGAGATTGACAGTTAAAATAGTTTGTGACCTTTGCTTACATTTTACTTTCATGAAATTAAGATTTCTTAAAATTAATTTGGCTAGCTAAATACTGTGTGCATGTTTTAAATTCTGGCCTCTAAATACTGTTGGACCAGATTCACTAAAAAGAGGAAAAAAAGTTACTCAGGACAGGAAAGCATCACCTTTGAAAGCATATGTGTAAGTGGCTTACTTTGGATCACACAAGACTGAAAATGTGGACTAATACTTTCAAGTTGCACACGGTGATGTGACCACAAGCTGTTTATCTGTCCAGTGGGGGGAAAGTGTAGAGACCTAGGCTCGTGTTGTCACAAACTGTGCCTTTTAGAGACTCCTATACCTGTACACATTTTTAGTGTACAGTTTTTAATATCATAAGAGAATAACTACATCATTATCCTGCCTATTGTGTGTGTTACTTTGTCTTTTTGAAAGCAGAGGACAAAATGTCAAAACTCAATTTTTGTTCAGATATATCTAGTTGAGCAGTTTATGCTGGTTTAATGATCAAGGTAATTGCTTCAGTGTCTTGTAGAACTGGCTGTCACTTTATAGGTTTATGCATTTCAAGACAGCTTCTGGGTAGTTGCATACTTTAATTAAAAATAGGCTTTTGATGTAGTAATAGTGCCCATAATTGAGGTAAGCTACACAGCTAGATGGATTATTTGGCCTTGTCCGAGAAGGTAGGCTTATAGCATGGTAAATAGAAGCTCAAGATTACAGCTTCTAGGCTGGGCGCGGTGGCTCACGCCTGTAATCCTAGCACTCTGGGAGGCCCAGGCAGGTGGATCCCTCAAGGTCAGGAGTTCGCGA